CAACCCCCAGAACCCCACAGAGACAACCTCAGCGACATCCTCAGTGACAGCGACATCAGCACCCTTGACCTCGGCCCAAGCCTCTCGGCCCGCAACACATCTTGCTACCAAACATCCAACACGGTCAAGACCCGAGACACCAAGCAGTCCTCCTCTCTCACCATACCGCTTACCCATGGCCATCTACAGAGCGGCCTAACCACGGCCCAAGACTTCAAGGCTCGACCCACTACCACATCTCCGTCAATGAAAGATGCAACACAGGGAGTGGACATCACGCCCAAGAGGCTTAAGATGAGGGCCGGGTCTGTGATGGGTGCTGTGAGAACTTTTTCATCGCCGCTTTTGTCGCCTTTGAGGGGTGGTACTGCGAAGCTTGGGAGGCCGGGGGTTAATCGGGCGAAGACCTCATTTAGGGGTGTTGGGGGCGTTTTGGAGCGTTGAATTGAGGATTGTATATTTGGATTGGGTGGTTTTTGCTGGATGGGTGAATCAATTGGTATTGGGCATCGGTCTTGAGGCGTTGGGGAGTTATTAGCTGGACTTTTGTGTCTATTGTGCTCTGTTTTGTGGTTTGTTCCGGTATTGCTCGTGATTGGTGATGGGGTAGTTAGGGTATGGGCAATTGATGCATAGGCACATTTGAGTACTGATGCCCGGGTTGGGATAAGATTGACCAAAATAGGGGTTTCTGTAGGATCAGGCTTATCGTCTATCCATGTTCTATATCCACTACTTGAATGTGGCAGTCATCGGTTTGGGATTTGCTATCAGGTAGTTGCTGTGTATAAGTTCACCGGATTCCCATGGTGTATAGTCCATTGCTATACTCGCAGTTGCTGTCGCACAGCTATGTGAGGTAGGTGACTTTGGCTTTCAATCATTGTTCCAACCTGAGCTACCATTGGAAACAACTCGAGTCGGTCGGATCGGTATTGGCGTTTTATTATTATTCGAGTAGGCCGTGTCCTTCTCTTCTCTTCTAATCTGAGCATAGGATTAATCTCTAAATGTTATATAATGGGCAAATCAAGCATATGATTACCCTCAAACCTTATCATCACCCACCTCCCCACTTGCCTTCCCCCCCTTCTCCTTCACATTCTTGAACCCAACCCCCCAAACAAAGATAAGTTGAGCAACAGACAAGCCAACACCCAAATAAAACACCCGATCCACGCTCTTCGCATACGCCCTCAAAACGCCCGGTAACTGCCGCATAGACACCACATCCCGAAACCCCGTCGCACCAGCCGCAATCACCGTTTCGGCATCCACAGCGGGAGCATATTCCGGAAGCTTGACCCGCAGAGCCTGGGAAAAGATGGCCTGCCCAACAGCTAGGAAGACTGCTCCACCCAAAGTCTGGCTACAGGTCATGATAGCCATCGCAGTCGAGACTTCGTCTGCTACTACGGCGTTTTGAATTGCGATCATGGGCTGGTATCCCATTAGTTACTGGGTGTTTCCCCCCATACTTGGAGAGTTGGAAGTGGACTCACTACTTGCGTTGCGGCGCCTCTGCCGAATCCGACTAAGGACTGGAATCCAGCCCAGGCGGGAACCGAGGTATTTGGCGTGAGGGTTGATAGCAGACCGCAGCCAATTGCGTTTAGCATAGCGCCGAGAACTCCCCATGGGAGATAGTAACCCAGTTTCCCGGCTTTGTGGAGCGTTAGCAAGGCTGTTTTCCATATATGAGGGTATAAGGGGTAGCTCACTTAGAATTCCTGATACAACGGCCATAACTAACTGGCACAGTATGTTCGGTAGTAGGTTGACGCCACTGACTAACGCCGATTTGCCCCGAACCGACTGGAAGTAAATGGGCAGATAATATGATAGAATCATGGTCATGCCGAAGATCATCATAGAGAGCATACAAGAACATACCACAATCCGGTTACGGAGTAGGTAGCCTGGGATCATTGCATCGCGGCCCATGTGGCGCTCCCAGGCGATGAAGACTAGCAGTGTGGCAACTGTGCCGCAGAACAGCCCAATCACCGTGGCACTCTTCCAGGGGTACTGGTTTCCGCCGTATTGTAGTGCAAGGAGTAGCTGGATGCAGGCTGGGGCGAAAAGGGCGAAACCAACCCAATCGAATTTGTAGAGAAGCGTCGATCGGATTACTTCACTGGCTTTGTCCTTGGGCTTTTGTTCCGGGATACGGGTGAATATGAGGAGGGCGCCTACGAGGACGCCAATGGGAAGGTTGATGTAGAAGCCTTTTGTTTATTGTATCATTAGTATGTAGACAGTATTACGGGGGGGAAAGGGTCACACTAGGCTTACACCATCGCCATGTCGAAGATGTCGTAAAGGCACCGCCAATGAGTGGCCCAGAAACTAATCCAAGCTGCGCGACTGTTTTGAATTAGTGTCTGGCGTGTCTGATCTATGGAAATGAGAACATACTTCCCATGATGACCCCCATGAGTGTCGGCCTTTTATGCATTGGAACAGCAGCGGCGAGAATGTTCATGGCTCCATTCAACATCCCTGAGGATCCCATTCCAGCTACCGCACGGCCGATAATTAACATCTTTGACGAATCGGCAACTCCGCAGATTAACGAGCCGATTTCGAAGAGGGAAAAGAAGGAAAGGAATGTCCACTGTATGTTGGTAAGTACTATGGAATATGAAAAAATTCTGTGACCGACTGACCTTCAATTGGAAATAGTTATAGAATTTGCCCGTGAGAGGCTGAAGCGAGGCACTAGAGCAGAGACAGAGCCACTGCAATTAGCGATGCTTGATTTCAAATAGAGGGCGTAATCCATTCGCACTGTACCTAGCGATGGTATACGCACTCCCATACCAAGCCACGTCGTCGAGGGAGTGGAACTGGTTTGTGATCTCTGGGATGGCCTGTGAAGATGTGAGTCCTGTTTTTATATGTTGATATGAGTTGTTCTGTATACGCCGTCGGTCATACCGTTGAAACAATGGAAATATCTAGCAACATGAGAAAGACAACAAGCGTGGTCCCGCTTATGGCCATGACTAGAGGAACCCCTTCCAGCCATTCTGGTTTGTATTTCTCAGGTACTGAAGGGCTTTCATTGAGCTCATCTTCTGGATTGGTTTGGCGTTTTAGGTTCTCGTTTGGTTGATTGTCCTCGCTCATTTTTATAGGCGAGTTAGGGCTCGGAATATTAGTGGAGAATTGGGTTTGTGTTGAGATATTTGCTGTCTAACTGCTCCTTGGAAAAACAGAGATATAATAATGAGAATATCTGACCAGTATAGTTCGCGAAGTACAGAATTGAAAATTGACTGTTATTGTAGATATTACATTGGTTAAATATCTCTCCATATCTCCTCCATTGACACGGAGTTGGGGCATTTCCGTACCCGTTCCCGCTTCTGCAAAACCAACTCCGTCGGGGTTCAGAGCATGAGATGCTAGACATACTAAACGCATGCTGCTTATCCCTGTTAGCTAGCCACTTATTACTTTTTTATGCTCATTAGCATTGTGGATGTGAATAAATTGTCTATAGCTAGAAACATTCTTACTCAGTATATGTAGGAAGAAGCATCATTATAAATCGATTCGTTCATCATTCATTAGTTACATATCTAACTGAAGTCCTCCGACCAATTCAGAAAGCTATCCAAGTCCCACTGATTCGTATTGAACAGAGGTATTTCCAATGTGGTATCCATGTCCACGCTTCCAAATCAGACAGTATTGACGCCCATTCACCACGTATCTTCAGCATCGTCGCACCTAGTTTACTGTACGGATCACGAAGCTCTCCTTCACTATGAATCCCTACAGCCTGCGCCACCGCATTCAGTCGATCGGCTAGCTGACCAGTAATAGTTACTAGATCCAATGTCCTTCGAACAATAGCTCGATCCCATCCAGGGCAATCGAAAGTCGAAAGACGGAAGAGAGTCACAAGGCAGTGAGAGATATAAATCAGATCAGGTAGGGTAATAGAGGTCAGGTCAGCTATAGGAACAGTTATTAATAAATCAAAGAAAGATTTGACTGTCTTTAAGCAAGTGTAGAGGTGGTCAAGCCGTTGCGGGTCCGTATATTCTGTGTTTGCGGTTGGCTTGCTGAGGGCTGTCTCGTACAGGCTGACCTCTGTATGAATGAGGTGAAACAGGATGGGCCCTATGGTTATGGTTAAATGAGCATAAAATAATGGAATGCTATGTTTTATCAGCTTACTATTTTCAGCTAGGTCGATAGGAATCTTAGCTTTCAGGGTTTGTAACTGCGTCTGTATAGCTTTCATATGAAACGATGCCGGTGCTCGGGAGGCGATATCGATATCATAGAGATTCTCATACCAAGGCCCTTGTAAGATCGCGTCCGCCAGCAATCGTGTACGTGTAATTTGCACAAGCACAACATCATTAGGTGATGCGTCACTTTCGGCTAGGGCATTGAGACATTCCTCCATATGAGGCGTCCATCGGAGCGGATCCATCCGACCTAAGAATTGTGCTATTCTGTGATCCGTTGCAGTCAGTAAAGTGAAACCAGTCGTGATGGGCTTGGATTGGTCCAGGCTTACAAGGAACTAAGAACAAAACAGCCGAGCACGGCTCGCCGTTCATTCATGGTTCGCTTGGTTGAAAGAGACGGCTTCAAATGTGGCAGATGGCCCACTGCATTGCAATTTGAGGTCGCCATGCATAAATCCGGGGGTGCAGGCTTGTTGAGACCAAGCTCGAAGACCAATCCAATTGCCATCTGGGTATATATACACAACGACGACTTCTGCGGCTGGGTTAGGTATGTGACCCTGCCAGACTGTGAGTCGCTAGCTATTTCCAGCATGGAAAAGGTGGTTTACCAGGCGAGATACACCAAGATCCCTTGTAGAAGGTCCAGGCTTTTTGCGCAATCCACAAGGAGTTTCTTGCCTGCTACTTCACGAATACTAGCACATAATTCAGATTGACGGGACGGATGCTTGCATTGGACTGCAGTGATGCAGCGCCACAGAAAGGGGGACTGTTCTTTAACATCCTTTGCAGACATAGTATCCGGAATATAAACAACTGGGAAAACCGGCAGCTTTTCTTTACGGAAAGAGGCTAGACAGGCTTCTTCTTCCGCGCCTTGGCCTAGATCTGGCACAGATATCACAGTCCCGAGCAATTCTGAATTGCTATTGGGAGACTCGGTTTCAGAAGTGACGATGTTTGTGTTCATGTTGGCCCCTGGATCAGACAGCGACAGGGGCTGGAGCTGTGACTGTCCCGTCGAAGCCAATAGAGTCATCAAACCGTCTAGCTTATGCTCCAGCTGCGTTCTCTTCGAAAGCGGCTTAAGCTTTCGCTGCCTGATAGGCTGTATGCATTCCTTATTCAAGCGGTGGCACCTATCCCAATTATGAGTGCTACACGATTAGATTGATGTAATGTGTAAGGACCTACCTCTCACAAGTGCTACCGCCAGCTCGAGGAATACATTTACATTTTGCGCGGGCGCAAGTGGCACATGCACGGCCATAAGGTCCAAGTTCACGATGACCAGGGTTCATAATTGAATAGAGTTGAGTCGTGAAGTGACGAAACGGGCTTCGACGAGAAAGGGAATCGATGCCACGGCATTCGGGATCGGAGGGATCGGATTGCCCGATACTGCCCTAGGCTGATGGACTAATATTCCCGGTCAAATGAGCTTACGAGCAGGGGTAATTAGTTAGTTAGTTAAATTATCAGATCCTATAACTAATTACTAAGCTTACTTTCTCAGCAAGTGATACTTAGAGTGGCCAAAGAGCGAGAGTTATATTTTGAACACAAAACTGTAGGCGCTTATCAATGTTTCGCTTTTCTCTGAACTTCTCGTTTCTTTGAATGCAATGAAAAATTGTAGGAATAACTGGGAAACATAGTCTTCAGAAAAACACCAGATAACCAGAAACGTGCTCAATCTTGGCCACACTCCATTTTGTTTGAAATGTACTTGGCCGTTCGCAATACTTGGGGGTAGAGCTTCAAGGTTGCGGGCAAATATAGCCTAGAGCGTCTTTTTCTTCCCAGTTTGTAGGTAAGTAGACTTGAAAAACTGTAGAAACATCCATGCCAGAGAAACAATGAAAATAATACCAAGCCATGTCGCAGAGGTATGGCTGCCCTGGTTCGTGCAACTGACTGTTCGTACGTCGCAATATGACCCTCCACTAACCCCTGCGCCTTGGGCAGCCAGTGTCTCTACAGAATCTCCCATCTTCCTGTGTTCGGTGCAACGATTGTAGTCAACAGGAACATCATAATAGATAAAGAGGTAGCATGGGCAGACAATAATGTCGATGAAGAATTGCACGATTTGGATGGTTGTCATTGCTGCCTTAACTGATCGAGGCACTGCAACATGAATCGATTTCAATGCGTAATAGGTATACTACAACTTTTTGGTCAACCCCCTACCTCCTCCAGGCCCTAGTATATTTGATCAGCCCTTACCATAAGTGCATGGACGCCAGCATTAAGGAACAATGTGATTAATGCCGGTGGGGGTTCAGAATAAACTGAGGCCCACCCGAAGAGAATAACACCTGCATGGTGGTAAATTTGGAGTAGAGAAGCCTGTCGGCCTTTTGCAAGAATAATAGCAGTATCAATAAACTCATAAAACTTCGATATGTAGAATGCCCAGCCGACAAAGACTAACTCCTGGAGGGTTTCCTTATGAGGTACGATCTGCCCACCTTGACAGAATAGGTCTGCCACCAGAACCGTATAGAATGTATCATGTCTTCCAGGCCATGCGTTTTTGAGTGTTCGAACAACCGTCAAAACAATCCAGGTTGAATAAATAGCTAGAAGAACGTTATGTAGGATAACCGTATGTCGGAACCACCTCGTTTGGCTTATCGCCCATGGCTTCCCGTGTCTCCTTTTGTTAATGTGATTCAGAAGTAGTGCAACAATTGTATACATGCCAATCGCAGCAAGAGAGAAATTCAAGTGCGAGGTGATGCGGTAAAACGATATTGGTATGCCGAGCTGTGCCAATTTGCAAGTTGGAATAGTCGGCTTTGGTTGAGTCTGATCAACCATGGAGAGCGATGACGGCGGAAAACCAAAGTGTACAGACATCTTGTAAGTTGACTATATCAGATACAACTAGACAAACAGTATCTCTGAAGAGAAGACTGGGAGATATTAAAATTGGATCAATAAACACAAATGCTGTGCTAAAGCTTTTGAAATGGAGAGGGTGGTCACTAGCTATATCTAGCCCATTATCGGCAAGCATCTGTCAACAATTTCGAACTTATCGACAGAGCGCTGGTTATCCTGAAATATTAGCGAATTGATACAACCAAAGGACCTCGTCTTCTCGCAACATACATGGCAGTGCACCATGCATAACCCAATAGACTGGCAGCATTAGAAAAAGAAGGCTTATAGCAATGTGAAGAGTTCGGGATTGTATATGGGGATTCGCTCGGCAACGAGTATATAATGCACGCTTCGCCAACAATTCCCATTATTGAGGTAGGGAAAGAGGTCAGGTGGATAGCTTGAGACCTCTTGTGGTTTTCTCCATTTCTTTTCCCTGTTCTCCTTTCTCAAAGAGATTATGCTGTCCCTACTACAAGACACATGCTCATTATCCGAAATTGTTACTCAACCCTGAGTTTGATCCATTCATAGTGGTATTGACTTTCTCCGAGTTAGCGTAATGAAGTTGATTGATCCAAAACTGTCATTTTGCTGGCTCATCAGCAGGGTGATCTGCGCTACGCAATCCACTCAGAAACAGCTTTTCTGTGATCTTGTGCCCTGATCATATGGTGGTCTGTATCACATCCGACAAGTACACAACTTTCGTATATGTGAAAGCATACAGCGTAGGACATCAAACGTCAATGCTACTGTCAGCCTTATCATGTATACGTGACACTACCTATATCTTTCCCGCTTAGTCGGCGACGATAGACAGCAGGGTATAATAAGACAACAGAAGATCACAGCTGACAAGCTTTATATGAGCATGCACAACGGTCTGTATTATATAAGAAAGGTGCTTATACCAGACAACACATTGTGACCAGCTTTGGACAAGGAGAGCCCACTGTTGTGAAAGAAGAAGAAGCTCCTTGTTCTCTGTCTGCTACTGGCTGGTACTCTTTTCTACCAAAGTTGTGATGGCCATATAAACACCGAGTCAGCCCGTGTGGTGGCCGGTTGCACATAGTATTTATCCTCCGTAAACTCCCAATTCAGTGCCTGATCTGGTCTGGACCACGCGACTGACTTTTCGATTGACGTGATAGAGGTGACGAATTTTTGACCGGTGAATATCTTTGCAATGTTCAGCTAGAGAGTCAAGGCCGATAATCCCATCATATACATTGATGGTCAGCGCGTTTGCACTGCTTTTAGTGTTACATACCTACTAACACATTATTCCGAGCGACCAGTCAATAAACAAGGCACCCCAGCTGCGGCTATGAAAACTAGTAACAGCTAATGCTGATGTCTGCGTGGCTATAGAGGATATCTGCCAGCCTTTCCGAGCGGAGCGACATGGCCCGCTATCTATCACTAAACTTCCCCTACAGCTGGTCCGGCTGCTCGTCGTTGCAAATAAATACCGTGGGTTCTTTGAGAAAAAGAGGATTTGATACGCGAACAGCTAATCTGAGGTCACATTGCAAAGGGGGGCCTTATACTTGGGTGATGAGATGGATGATATGGGTTGAAAAATGCACAAGGGCAGAAGTTGGGGAGGCCCGGGGGAGGGGGGTTTATACTACCAGTCCTACTAAGGCTGTAAGGCCCGAAGGCTGCAGTGGCACTTCGGAACGATGGAGTTGGTTCACAGGTCCTCTCCACATTGTTCAATATTGACCATGACTTGATGCTGTAGGAAAAGCCTCTATTCATTGTATTAATATATGGTACACTGTCAATTAAAATCTATATTAGTGAAAGTGCAACACAGGCTTAATGAAAGCCAGGTATCTAAGACTAGATTAAATCCTTTCCCATGTTAAGGGGCGTCTTGTACGATGGGCCAGCCATCGATATATCCCAGATAACTATATCCCAGTTGGGCTTCCTGTTGACACATCAGCAACGTGACACGACATGAGAGATTTAGAGAAGGGTTGAGGACTAACCCAGAAATCATAGCTGAGAGTTGTGTTTACTGATCTGGTTAGCTTACTCGTCCTTGGGTACCGGAAATGAGACTCACAGTAATGATAATAAAGAATATCTCCAGTCTCCCCAGTTAAAACACCCTGCCCTCCCGGCGCGTAGACGTCATTGTTAGAGCCATAGATGAGTTCTCCTCCGCCCTCAACAAGCTCTTTTCCTTGTTTGTCTACAAACGGACCGTGAGGGCTCTCGGAGCGTCCGACGCGGATACTATATCTATGTTTTTGTTAGTGTGAACAATTGTGAAACCAACAATAAATGTTAGAGTTCCCATTGGGAATGGGAGGAGAGTGAAGGAATATACGAGCAAGACTTACTCTTCACCTGATGGTGGAAGGTTGTTGGGATCATAATCGCAGCACTGGCCCCAGCTCAGCCAGAGATAGTAGTACGGTGCATGGTAAGAGATATAAGCACCCTCAACCGGACGGCGACCGGACGAATCCCGACAGAGTGGATTGGGGTTTTGGTTCGGTGACTTTACTTGCTCAGGCTGCGGATGCTTTGCTAGATGATGCGCATTGGATCCAGTTGTGTTGCCGACCGAGCAGAGGTCTTCATTCAATGGGACCTGCCATATTCCAGACCAATAGCTACCGAAAATCAAAAGTCCTTGATCATCGGTGACCAGAACTGCAGGGTCAATGGCATTTACCTCATTGAATGGATGTTCCTCCGAGCCCTGTCCTGTGCCCGACTGAATAATAGCCCCGTGGTCTGTCCATCCTCCTGGACCCGGTGTTTGTGATGTGGCTACACCGATAGCGCTGTCGCGACACCCAGCATTGCTGACTGAATAATAGCAATAAAAGATCCCGTTCACTTCAATAGTCGTAGGAGCCCAGGGCTTTGCGCGGTCACCTTTGGGGATGATGCTGTCTTGATCCAGGACACTTCCGATCTGCCTCCACGGTCCAGCTAGATCGGATGCCTGATGAATAACGATGTGCTCTCCTACACCATAAGCATAGTAGATGCCATTAACGTTGATGACGGTTGGGTCATGGATCTTGAGGTCGGTAGCTTGTGTATAGGCTGAAGATAAAGGACCTGAGCGCGGTATGCTCCTGCATAGAGAGACCGCAAAAATGGAGAATAATATCGGTATGAGGACCATCTTAATATAACCACGATTGAACAACCATTTAATATCAGGTACGGGAGAGTTCAGGCTGGGTACGAGAAATAGCATGCTAATAAATGGTGCCCCCAGCAAGCCCCTGCTCGGCGGTCGGGAAACTCGTCCCCATACTCCTGTTTTTTTCTCGTTCTCCAGTTTTATTTTTTGTGAGCACGGCAGATCAGAAAGAGTAGCAGCATAATCTAGCACAGGGTCACCCGAATGCCCCCAGGGGCGTAGTATCCCTAGTCTAGAACGACAGGATCAGCAACGATTTACTCCAATAGGAGACTGTTCAGTGAATAATCGGTCCTGCAAAACTCCGTTCTCAAACACCCTGAACGAAACTTCCAAGATACAAATCAGGCTATTAGGACTGGGGTGTGGGCCCTTGTGGTAAGAAATGCAGATGCAACCGGTAGTGAATAGCTCGAACCTAAGTGTGGCCAAAATTTAGACCCCGTTGGAGAAAACTTATAGTTCGTAGATACACAGGGGATACAGTTCATATGTCCATGACCGATCAACACGGATGATCGCCACAGGTAGCCAGGATTGGTATCATGTTTAGTGAGAAGGTGTATGTGCCGAAAGGAAGCACTCCGTAGTACGGGACTTCTTACCGAGATGTTCATCAGTTGTAACTCTTGCGTAATCTCTGGGAGGAAAGGAGGAAACCCGCACTGGGACCACTCTAGAGGGAATTACGACATCGCTCGAATGATTGCAGAGAGCCAATGCACTTACTAATATAGCAACGTCGGAGTTGGTGATCGCCGAGGGAGTTTCGACGTTCGCATAAGGGATGTTTATCCCATTATTGCCTCAACAAGTGGAGCCGGCTCCCTTTTACAGACTTTGAAAGTTGACTCATCCATTGACGCGCACTGCTTCCCGGATACATCAGAGCTGCACCTTTATCAAGTAAACGGTCGGAAGATCGTTATGGGTGGGTACCTGAACGGAGAGAATAAAGTTCCCTACGGAACGCAACCGTGGACATAAATAGGGTACCATTTATCATGTGCCGCGCTCAACTCTGCTAGTTAAACAAAGCAGCAAGATAAAAAATACAATATCTATCGCTTCAAATTCTACTGTGGGTTGGTAGGGGATGGATCGATGAGGTTACATTTGACAATATCGCCTCCGAAGGATGACTGATCTGCGAGGTGATCAACGGATTTTCGGCCGATCTAAAATAGAGGACAATCATTGCGCCCAATATCAAGCATACATCACGGTAGAGCTCATGAAACATATAATTAGAAATCCACCAACGCCGAGTAGTCTCACTCTCTGAGTGCGATTACCGGGGGAACAAAATGCCCGATGTAAAAATAAAAGCCATACCCTCACACATCGCAAGGGGGTTTAGCGGACGACGATCTTGTCCACTTCATCCTTTGCCTCGGTCCATGTCTCGAGGTTTTTCCGGGCCCAGTCCAGATGGCATCGGGCATATGCGACCTACAGAAAATATCTCAATATTAGCGTTTCCCTCGACCATATTTTGTAGTCCTCGTTCCTTACCATGTAACGTCGCAGATCACCCTCCTTATCCTTCTGGAATCGCTTCAAATCTTGCAAGACACCTGTGCTAGCGTCTTTGACGTCCTTTTCCGAAACCTCAAGCGCTTGCTCCAACTGTGCATATTTTGTTAGTAAACTAGATATAGGGAAAGGGGGCAAGGACTATAACAGCCCAAAGGCAGTGTGGCTAGACTAACCTGAAGTAAACTCTCCTTCGTTTTTCCAATCTGATCTCGTCGCGTCCTCTCCGGGTCAACATCAACGAACCCGTGGACGGCGTGGCTGATACGCCCAAACAACTTGTTCGTCATGAATGTCCCACTGGCTGACTTGCGATGTGCTGGAGACGAGGATGTCTCAGGCCGTCGTGATGGAGATACCGGGGGTAACGGCGCATGCGAGCCGATCGATTCCCCATGGGTAGGAGGAAAGTCTGAATCGATAGAGGTAGTATCTTCCGGACCGCCGGGGCGAACATCTGCTCCATGACTGCCCGGTCCGCTCGTAGCTGACGACGTAGATAAGGAGCGTTGCGATCTCGTCCCTGATCCTTGAGGTGACGTCCGATTCAGGTACTGTTCAATCCGCTTTGCTTCCAACTCGCTCCGTTCCAGAGAATCCAGCAATGTCTTTTTCTTGGCTAACTCATCCCTTGTCATTTCTTCTTGCACCCGCTTCAGCACCCGATAACGTAGGACACTACGAACAATGCTAGCGAACTGTGCGCTTTCCCTCATAGGTTCGGCAAAGCTGGCACTTAATGCATTGGAGAGCTCCTCAGTTTCGATGTAAGATGTGTCTGCTGCCTGACCAATTCGCTCAATTGCCGCGGCTACCGTGGGTGATTGTTCGGACAGAGAGAAGCCGTTGTATCGTGCCCCAAGCTCCATGAGGTCTGCTGACAATGAAGACAAATGCGCCAGTGTTCGACGATTGACTTTCTCGATATTCCCTTGCAATAGCAGCTCAAGCTCCCGTGTAGATGCCTCAAAGTTGATGAAATATGGGTCCAATTCTTGCTCGCTCAATTTGCGGGACTCTGGAGGGAAACGCCCTAAAACATCGGGGCTCGGCGCATCGACTGGGGGAGGCGCAGCTGAAGCTGTATGACCAGAAGTACCCTTGAGCTTTGCGGAAGAAGATGGCACCGGTAGCCAAGCGTGGGCGGCTGTGGGATTGGCGGGGTCTAGGGGAGGTGCTTTCAAATTGTTCTTGGGTACCGAGGATGCGGGGTGAGAATGAAGGACCTCGCTCTATATTAGAATTAGCCTCTACCGCCAGGTTCACAGGCGCTTGGTTCATATATACCCAGCTAACATTAGGATCTAGAAACCTCCACCAAACGCCGTCCTCACGGACTTCCTTCATTCTGCGACAGCGATTCAAAAAGACAGCCAGCATCCGCTTTCGGAGCTCAATTATCGCAGTATCCTCCTTAGCCTTGGTAGGTTTGGCTGCATAATCCGCCATTGTATGTTTCTCAGGAATGGGCGGGATGACGAGTGTGGGATGGAGGTTCACAAGAGTCTGTCGCAGGGAGGCGAATTCAGAGTATCGTCGCCGGACTTCCAAATCCTACATATGTTAGTCGACTCTATAGACGGTCTCCTACCTGCATCATAACATACTCCAGTTCGTATGGTGTACACGATAAAGCTTCCACCACCCTCGTGGTTCTTGCCGGCATCGGTGATCAGGATCGGCATCTCCGGGTTCTCATAGAGGATTTGTTCTATGCGGCTATCGTAAACGGACTTCCCGTAGTAGCCATGACTGGCGGGTTGGTTGTCATATCCTTCATTTTCCTCATCGCTAAAATCCCGCGGGTGTGAAAGGTAGTCGTCAGTCGGATCCTGGGTTGACGCCTTGCTGGAAGGGGAGGGAGGAGTGTATTCGCGTTCGTAGAGAGCTTGCAGAGGTTAGTCTGCGCGCATCGAATTGGGCAGGGGGCCTTACTTGGAGAAAGGTTCGCCGAATGTAAGGATTCGGAAAGACGGGCTTCGGGATCGAATGCGCCGTATGGGTTGTTATCCTCGTCGTTCCACATGGTGCTGGTCCTGCTGGGAGACCGGAGGCTGGGCAAAGCAGCCCTGGCAATTTAAGAGTCCGAGGTAAGCGAACAACACATAAAAGATGACCTGTGAGTTGTAGGAATAGTTATATAGAGGACAAAATTAAGATATGACTCGGTTCAAGCTGCTGGGTAAAGAGGAAGCAGTGAGATGGCTGAGCTCAAGGCATCAATAGCTGGAACCGCGGGAAAGTCACCGCCCACAACCATTCGCGGGGATTCAACGTCACTGACTCCGGGGAGCCACAGGAACCAAAGCAGTCATTCTTATCAGAGTGGCTCAGCGCGCTAGTCCTGTTTCGGTGGTCCACGTTTCTTCAACAAACCCACAACAATTTATAGAAATTTGGTTATATACGTTTGGACTGTTACATGCTCTCATTTCTCTTCGATTCTCACCACATGATGATTTACTCAGTACAGAGAGGCTACCGACATTGCAATGAAACCGCAAAGATCTACGCATTCTCTAATAGCTAGCTATGCGAAGCGTAGTTTCGACAGAGAAAAACCAGCCTGGAATGTTGGACAGCCCCCTCGACCAAGGGCCTAAAATCAAGATATTGGAGAATTTTACTAATACACAGTACTATGAACTTGCAGATGACATCATGCCTCGGCCCTTCATGATTTAGCGAAGCTCATTTTGGCTCAGTAGCCAAGCCTCGTGTGCTCTCTTTTACCACGGCTCGGCCAACTAGGTTGTCTAGGGCTAGGCGTGACACCTTCCAGAGACAAAGTCATCAGGTGACCTTTTCTCAAACGAATGAGATAAAGCTGGTTCCCCATCTCTATGCAAAGGTTGATTGTTTCGGTTCCATGGCTCCCGGCGAATGACTGGCTTTGAAATACGGACCCATCTGAAGGAGCGTAGGCGAATTCATTTGCGACAATCTCCTCAACGTATTCCACGATACTTGGGTCGTATTCAGTGACCTGCGTCACCTCGTCTAGACCTAGATCTCTCATGCTGCGCATAAAACGTTCTTCGTACTTCTGTGTAAGCTCTGCAAAGACTACGTGTTCATTTCCTGGTATTGTGGAACCTTTGATTTCATCAAGATAAGGCAGGGAGACGTCTTGGATTGCTTTGTAGAAGGCTTCATCGGCAACAACTGCATTTCTGGGCGAGTTAGGCGTATCCGACGACGCTTGATCAAATATCACGGCTACTCGTGTGATCGTCGTGCCTGGTAGCGGTACGGACATGCATCCTGGCCTTGGTCTCGTCATCACCGAGCTTTCTTGCCTTCAAAGTCTTCTGGTTGAAATCGGGGATTAGTCAAGGGCATACCTTGACGAATATAAGCGAAGTATGCTAAACGCACTAGCTTGTATCACTTGGATGAGACGAAAGTCAGGAAATATATGTTGTTGTCTTCAACACACAATTATCTAATTGAATCAATGACAAGTTCGCCATGGGAACACCCCCCGAAGATTGATGACTAGCCGCATCATCATAGATATTAGGATCGTACGCATACCATTTAACCTTGTAATCTTCGAGGTCAAGGAGAATAAAAGGCGTTTTGGGTCGAGTGAGAGAGGTCCAGGTTTTTAGCGACGTGGGCTTAGAATTCGCGTATGTTGGTGGCTGCCTCCAATGAGGCTGTTTGCGTGAGTCTATAGTAGTGTCTTGCAAACAATCCGTTGACGTCGTGATAGGTAGTTCAGTTGATTACTGTATTTATATATAAGCGCGGAGGCATGACTGTAAACATTCCGCATATGTGATATATTTTGCTCGTAATATCTCAGAATTGTAACATTGAAATTTAAACATATTAATTAAATTTACTACTAAAGATTAACGCATCCTGTGAGGCTGTTGAAGATGTTGCGTTTTTTGGGAGAGGATGAAGGCTGAGAGGATATGACACAACTCTCGTCAACAATAACTCAGAACTTGGGAACTGCCCACCACCTTTGCATTTCTCATCCCTCCAACCACCATAGTCGGAATGAGGGCGTGCTGGATATTTACAATTGCACTATGCCTACCACTATTGGTATTTGGATCAGCACCAGTGACAAAGCTGATTATCGACTCGGATCTGTTTAGTGACGTTGAGTAAGCCTTTGTTGAGGTCTCGGTCTCATGTTCCCCGCCCGTTGCTGATGATCCCCTCAGTGATGCAGCCGCTCTTTTGGTGGCTTGTGGCCATCCAACAGTGACGCTAATGGGCGTCATGATCAATTATCCGTCGATATACAGTGCCTTAGCTGCCTCTAGTATTCTCGGGTATTATAGCTACTCTGACGTTCCAGTTGGCCTTAAAAGACCGTTTTCCAATGATACTTTCTTTGACGCCTGGACATATCAACTAGGGGAATATGCAAGCAAAGTCGCATACAACTGGCGACATAATGCATCGATGCCATGGGGAGACGCAAGCAATGCGTGGTATCCCGTCGAGCTGTACCGGAAGCTTTTATCGGAGGCAGACGATCACAGTGTGACCATTGCCAGTATTGGATTCCTCGACAACGTGAGTATTTGCCAAGGTTCATTCCTTGAAGCAATTGCTTAAATATTCTCTAGCTCTATGAGCTTCTTTCATCTCCGAGTGATGGATACTCTCCACTTTCAGGGCATGACCTTGTAAAGGCTAAGGTGGAGGAACTCGTTATCATGGGTGGAGCATACCCATGCGGATATGAATACAATTTCTACGGCAACAATGCTTCCGCAACCGCCCACGTAGTAAGCACTTGGCCGGGGCCCATGACATTCTCTGGAAGTGAACTTGGGGCGACCGTCTACTCGGGGGCGCGGTTAACGGTAGAGGGACCTGGTGGCGATCCAGTCAATGCAGCTTACCGGTGGTACACGTATGTTGCTCCATGTTCCACACATGCAATAACCTCTGACTGACGTTACAGCGGATACAACACGTCTCGGAGTTCGTGGGATCCTCTTACTGTACTCTATGCCATTGACGGATTGGGAAGTATGTTTGAATACGCAAACAATGGAGGGCAGAACTATGTTTACCCCGATGGTAGAAATGAATGGCTGCCAGACAACCCTCTGTATCCGCAGAAATACTTGAAGCTGCGAATGTCCGAAATACAAGCTGGTGAAATTTTGGATGTGTTGTATCTCGACACAGCGAGAAGAGCTGCAAGGAGGTAATAGGCAATGGATTTTTGAGATCGACTTGTTTGGAAAGACAGCGATTGTGACTGACACGACAATAAATGGAGCAGAAATTGCCGATTGGCATAGGCTTAATGAACCAAAATTCACCATCATCCAACCTCTTGTAGGTAGGCACGATTGCATTGGAGACATTAATTTGAACTTGAGGGTTGCCTGCTTGGTCCAACCTGCCCTAAGTTGACTTATATTGCAACGATCATCCACGTGCGTGCATAGCTAGATAGGGCCCACCAATCTCTTGGTTTTGTCGTAGAGTAATTGACGATAGAATCTCTATTGGGCCCTCATGCCCGCTATCCGAATATTGTGAATCTTTGTAGAATAGCTTGTTTCATTGATAAACATCGTAAAATATGGGATACTTTCTTCGGAAAGAAACCCTCGAGGATTAAAAGGTGGTGGGCAACAGGCTAATACCCCAAGATGTGTTTGCTCAATCTCAGGGCAATGTCGCCGTTCGGTTTGGGAATAACTGAAGTGAGATTCGTGCCCAACGCATAGAGCTATAGCTATAGATGTGAGAGGATACTCAATGACTATGGCGTGTTAATACTTGCGGATTGGGGACAAATAAATCCACGACTCGAAACGGCTGATGTTGTATATATTGGATCAAATTAATTCTGAAATGGAGACTACTCAAGCCATATTGAATAGTCTAATATAGCCTTATTAATTGAGACGTTAAGGGGTCAAAAATTCGCAACGACCAGGTTAAGAGTGAAGAATAGTCAATCCTGTTGCTTGGACTATTTCTCCTATCGACAGGAGCATTGCCGAAGTATAATCTAGGCAGCGACATAATGTTCAAACACCAATTAAGACAGGGTCAACGAGGGACATTGATCTAGGTAGTTTAATTTATCCATGTATCATATGTAGGGTCTAGTCTCCATAGTCCGGACGCATAACAAGAAATCCCGCCAATTGCGCAATGCAGCCTTGTTAAATGGAATTTGCAGGGTGAGTCCGGCACTGGTCGGAACATCTATCTGGATACTTTTTGTCCGACCCTTGAATTGAAGTGGAAGTGATCGGCTCAGGGGTCGGATTTTATTGACTGGGGCCAGATTACGTAGGTTTAGTGGAGACTTCTGACTCGGTCCGATCTCGCCAGAGGATCCGACAAAGCTGTCCCGTTTCATACCCTTCAGGATTTCTGTTTCAATGGCTAGCTGGTATCTGTCTTTTCGGCTTCCCGCACATTACGTTCCGGATGTTCAATCCTATCTCTGTCAATCGCACAAGCTGTAGATAGGTTCAAAGGAGTAAGATACGACAGATTCAATCGTTGTTAAGATCATCTTAGGTAGAACGTCGGTGCCGTTTGGCTGGTGGAATCGCAGCTAAGCTTTTTTTGACTACGCGAACCGGAAGCTTAGCCCTAGACTCAAGCCACTTGTTTCAATCTCAGACATATTTTTCCGCTTCCAAGGAGTTCCCCTTCTTCTCCACCCTGCTGTATTGTAAATCTTCCGTCGAAAGAAGGTAATAGGATGCGATAGCCTGAATTCCAGCTCATCAGTGGTAGGAAAAGGGATATAAAATCCTCCTCGGACTCTGACGATGCTTGCCTTTCTCTCAGCATTGTCTCTATCCATCCTCCATTCTTTAGTCTTTCTTTCAGTCCATTTTTGAAGGCCTCTTGTTGACCAAGTCCCTATCCTTTCTTTCCGAAAAATGCAGCTTCTCCAATCTTCCGTCATTGCCGCTACTGTCGGCGCTGCGCTGGTCGCCGCAGTCCCTGTGCCCGAGCTTGAAGCCCGCGACTCCTGTACTTTCACCTCCGCTGCCGACGCCAAGTCGGGTAAGACCTCTTGCTCGACCATCACTCTGAGCAACATTGAGGTCCCCGCTGGCGAAACCCTTGATCTGACGGGCCTCAAAGAGGGCACTACTGTATGTATAGATGTTTAACTACATGCTCTCATAGTTAGCATATACTAAAGCCATGTCTAGGTCATTTTTTCGGGTGAAACTACCTTTGGCTACAAGGAGTGGGAGGGCCCTCTCATTTCCGTCTCTGGCACCAACATCAAGGTCCAACAGGCCTCTGGTGCCAAGATTGACGGAGACGGATCCCGCTGGTGGGATGGAAAGGGTGGAAATGGTGGAAAGACCAAGCCCAAGTTCTTTTCTGCCCACAAGCTGGACTCTTCTTCCATCACCGGCCTCAAGATCTACAACACCCCCGTCCAGGGCTTCAGCATCCAGTCGGACAACCTGAACATCACTGATGTAACCATCGATAACTCCGCTGGTACCGAAGAAGGCCACAACACCGACGCCTTTGACATCGGCTCTAGCACCTATATTAACATTGACGGTGCCACCGTGTACAACCAGGATGACTGTCTTGCCATTAACTCTGGCTCGGTACGATAACATCATCCCAGTTGGAATCTTCCCAGCTTTCCTCCATCTCATAATCTGGTCACCAGCTAACACCCCTGTAGCACATCACCTTCACCAACGGCTACTGTGATGGTGGCCATGGCCTCTCCATCGGCTCCGTTGGTGGGCGTAGCGACAATACTGTCGAAGACGTGACCATCTCCAACTCTAAGGTTGTAAACTCCCAGAACGGTGTCCGTATCAAGACCGTCTACGATGCCACCGGTACTGTCTCCAACGTCAAGTTCGAGGATATCACCCTTTCCGGTATCACCAAGTACGGACTCGTTGTTGAGCAGGATTACGAGAATGGCAGCCCCACTGGTACCCCAACCAACGGTATCAAGGTCTCGGACATCACCTTCGAGAAGGTTACCGGCACCGTGGAGAGCGACGCTACTAATATCTACATTCTCTGTGGATCTGGCAGCTGCACTGACTGGACTTGGTCGGGTGTCTCCATCACCGGTGGTAAGGCTAGCTCCAAGTGCAAGAACGTTCCTACTGGTGCTTCTTGTTAAATACGGACTCACACGGGGAGATTAGCTTGCGGTGTTCATATTTATTATTCTTGGTGTTATTGCTTCGCTATTCGTAGCGCTTACAGGTTAATATAGCATTACACAACTACTACACAATACACTCCTTTTACACATTGCGTCTTACGCAGCTTCTTATTCTTTACACTCTTCCTGGAGCCAGAGGAGGGGAAAGCTGCTATATAGACTTCGGAGTACCATATCCTTAAACTATAGGGTGTCAGGTCAGATACGCAATACGATATCAGGATGTAGCTAGGCTTCCCCGTCGCTACGAATCTACACCGGCCGTTGACTTAGCTGACAAGGGCTTTGTGGCCAATCCAGATCGCACAGGGTCCAGAAAGTGGCACAGTATCTACTCCGTAACCGAACCTAGAGCAGCACCTCACCAAGCCCTTACTAAGGATGTATCGACTCCACAAGGGGTAGACTAGAACACATACATCTCGGCAGTAATCTCCATAATCTAATTGCCGGAGAGAATCTTGGCATGCCACCCCTGCGTTGCACCCTCTATTCAACGATGCGGTTAGAAGATGTACCGTTTTTATAATAAAAGCTGTGGGCCCTAGGATGAGATGTGGAGATAGTGCGCCAGAGTCCGCGAATGTAGTGGCATTTAACAAATTGTAGTCCGAAGTCCAGGAGGGGTGGTGGGCTCACCTGCGTTCGAAATATACTTAACTTTTTTAGCTGCACGCTATTGCATATTGCTTACAGTGGACCTCATTTATCCACTATGCGCTGCGCAGTATCTTGTCTATATTCCTGTCAAGAAATTTCTCTCGTGTCTTGACGTAAATAGGTAATGAAAACATTGGATTAAGATTTACACCATCCCTTCACTTTGCAAATCTGTATGGGCTGGTAAGACTATTGGTTCAATTTACAACTATCGGGGGGTTATATTAACCATTTTCATTGTTATCTTTTTCGATATTTCAATACTCCATATCTTCGCTCAGGTTAAAACAATCCCCAAAAACCCAGCACGGAATATAAACCAAGACAGTTCCAGGAAACAGTCTGGCTTGCTAAGTACTCAGCCCGCAAGCTTCAGTAGGCCCAACTCACTTTTGTGGTAAATCTTGAGCAAAGATGATGTGCATCTGCCAGTAATTGTGAGAAGTGCGCATTATCCTCACCTTCAAAATGGCAGGAATGCCTCCCCATGCGTCCAACCTTATATCTCATCTTTTCAACCATTAATCGATAAGACTATGAAGCCATCAAACCCACCAACAATACTAAAATCCTAGCGGACCATCTTATGCATCTCTCGGCCACAGAAACACCAACAAACTGGGAGGTGAAATGTGTGGCAAAAAGAATCCTAGAAGCCCTGGCGGTCATACTTATTATGACTGTGTGCATGTAGGCTGGGGGCCACCGACAGGAATATGTGCTTTTGGGGCTCTGGTATGTCCGTTTTGGAGGGTCAGTTTGTCTTTGTATATTATCATATTTATTCCTCTTATACCACACCGATGGTCGTTATGATATGACCGTTTAACAATACGTATGTCCCTATACCGACACAGTTAACAGTTGCTTATCAAGCGCCACATAAACAGTCATCATTCCATGGAGCAGTCCGGCTCTATACCAAGCGCACATCTCATCTTCAAGCCTCCATGAAAAACTTCCACGTCGCATCTGGAGCCGGCGGATTACCAACACCAAGAGGTGTGGCATCATGCCCACCATCATAAGCAATAAACGAAACAGGCTTAGCGCACCTCTGAAAATCAGTTCGAACGGAACCGTGACTCCCAAATACGGGCCTACCAACATTCGTTGGCTGGCACCCATTATTCACAACAAGTTTATTCGCCAGAATTACCCCCCCCGTCAAACGGAAGAACCGGGTCACTAATTCCATGAATACCTAGATATGCGATAGGATCATATCCTCCATCACACCCACTAATCAGTCCACCACTCAACACGCTCACAGCTCTGAACTCCTTTGCCCGCGAACAAGCAAGCGAAAAGCTCATTCCACCACCCCAACTGAACCCTGTAACAAAGCGGGATCTCTGGTCTATACAGAGGTCACTCTCAACTTGCTTTATAATAGCGTCGATGAGCGCTACATCTTCTCCATTGGTGTTGGCCCAGCTAGCATCCCGGCCGTCCGGAGCTACCAGGATTGCGCTACCCAGCGCTCGAGTTTCGAGGCCATACCAGGGCTCGATACCTTCGCCATTCACCACAGAGCTCATGTTTCCACCGCCCCAGTGGAGGCCGAAGATCAAATGATGTGGTTTGTTGGAATGGTAGTTATCAGGAATCTTGAGGATATACTCGCGGTCATTGATTCTCTGGACTCCGTTGGCAAGAGTGGGCCGTTTGCCGCAGCCGGAAGAATTGGGACCGTGGACTGAGATAAGAGTGCTTAGGAACATGACGGTCTGGAGAAAAGCCGATTGAATCATTTCCGCTGACGAACGGACGCGATAGAGGATGATGAGGCTTTACTCAGATCAACGAGTAATAATGATTGTCACTGTGCAATTGATGCTTTTAGGAAGCTAATAGTGCACCTTATAGCCGTTGCCTTGTATTTATAGGCTGCAATAGTGTTTGATGACTTAACCAGCGGCATTATTCCTCGTAGTTCCCTTCCTGCAGAAGAAGGGAGATTTGGATAATGAATCTTTCGGGAAGGAGGTGTGGTACCAACTTCCTCCAACTGTGCGCCGGCCGGACCAGCCGTGATGCATGAAAAATCGGCAGCTTTATTTGAAACCTTCGTCTTAGAAGTTCCGTAGAGGTAACAGGGTATCTTCAGGGACTGTTTCAGGACCAGTTTGTCTTGTTAAAGCGACCACCAAGACAATGAACTTATCATCCACCGCACGGCTTAGTGATGATTCAAATCAAGGCACTACATCACGACTGGTGGAGAAACACAGGAGCCGGTTCATAACACTGAACATAAGGGGGGCAAAATCGTCGCGCTCAGACTTGATGTCTAGAAACATGTTCTCCATGTAGAACAGCACGTAATTGGTCACGCCAGCCTTCATAGGAGGGAAATGTACCTCGGGTCGAAGATCTGCAAGTCTGGAAAAAGTTTCTTATGTACCTACTACAACCAGCGGTGAGAGATGGAGTACGAAAAAAATCTTGACTTCTGTGTGTGATGGTTTTGTATGGTGCACTTTCTAACAAATTAATATTTCTCGCACAATCCGTTCTCACGCCGCCATATAGGTTGGATAGAGTCAAGGCTTAGGAAAAGTAGAAGGTGGCAGTGATTTTCCTCCATGACTTGTGTTGTAAAATGTTATGCACCTAGTTCAACTCTACTTTAGTCCCTCAGACACACTACTTCTCTTGTTGAAACAACTTTAGGTAGGGTTTATATTACACTACTAGAAATTACTATTAATATTCAACGTGGAAATAAGATATAAAGACGTGGAAATATATAGCCAAGACATATCTACCAATTGCCGAGCGATTCTCTACCCACTGACTGCCGAGCCGTATCTGATTTTCCCCGTGACCCACTCAATGTCACTCTAATTTGACATATTTTCCCCTTGGTTGTTGATGATAAAAGCATGGAGTATGAAGCGCGCATGGCGCAATTATCCAAAAGCCACACCGGCCCAGGCTTATATAGGACGATGGAGCCGCCCAAGCTGTTCGCACTATCACATCCTATCTAATCGGAACTCCGGCACTGTCTCTGGAAAGAGAACTTGCATCACCGAGTATCGATCAAAAGAGAAGATATTCTTGTATAGATACCAACGGCCGCGGAACTTTGTCACTACAGCTATTCCCTCTCTGCTTGTGCCGCCCCTTATCTTCGTCGGTCTCTTGCTCGCTCTATGGACATGGAAATGCTTCTGGATCGTTGTCTTGCAAGACAAACTTCTATACCTTTCATGGTTGCCGCCGCTTGCACGGTCCGAGAAGATCGCGGACTACGAGGCCGAATGCAGGCCGGTCCAGTGGATGGAGAGGCAGATCCGGAGTCTGGACGGGACTAAGTTAGCGGTATGTGAAGGTCGCATCCCAGCCCACAGCCGCAGTGGTCGCGTTGCATCCGCGACAATTGGAGAAGGCTATCCGCAAAGTACGGCGACAAATAAAAGAAAGTCAGTCGTGATATGTTATTTCCAGGGGAATGGCGGTTCAACCCCCCTTCGTTTGCCGCTTCTCTCTCAGGTTCTACGAACAATCAAAGAAAAGTCGAAGTCTATGCCGTTATCTACATCTTCATCAGTAGGCACTGAATTCACCATAGTGGCCTTATCATATCGCGGCTACTGGACTTCCTCGGGTCGCGCAACGCAGTCCGGTATTGAGCTTGACGCGCAGGCGTTCCTCGACTGGGTATCGGAAACGTACACCACACCAGACACCGATCTGGAGGTCGTCCTCTGGGGACATAGTCTCGGCGCGGCCATTGCGAGTAGTGCTACTGCCACTTATCTCTCCCGTCACGGTAGCGACCAGTCACCTGTGAATGAGATGAATGAGGTGGGACTCCCTCCTCCAGTAAACATCGCTGGACTGATTCTGGAAGCACCGTCCTCTAGTATCAAGGACATGCTTATAAGTCTATACCCACAGAAATGGCTTCCGTATAGATATTTGTGGCCCTTTTCGTGGAACCACTGGAGTTGTACCACTGCGATGGAGAGGATTGCTCGCTGGCGGGACCAGAATAAGGAGCAAAGCAATTCGATCATTCATGGGGGTAGGTCAGGAGTGACGATGCTGCCCGGGTCTAAGCGCCTTTGTACAAGCTCAGGGTCCTCTCGTTCGCCTCCTCCAATTCTTCTGCTTTCCGCAGGGAGTGACGAGGTGATCCCGCCCCATGTAGCGGATCAATTGGAATTAGATGGGGAAAGACTTGGACTAGAGCTTGAGAGAAAAGACGTACGGGGGGCATTGCACACGGAGGCACCTGTCAAGGTGGGTGGTAGGGAGGCGTTGGTTAACTTTATCATTCAGAGTACCTCCCAAAGGCAGAGGTAGCTTGACAACTTATCGCATCACAATGCGTACTTCGCATTCACATCCGGAAGAAACGGAAAGCATAGGAAAGAAAGGATACCGCGATAAAAGGTGTAACGAGAATATAGACTCATTGCCTATGTTTACCCATAAGTTGTTGTGTGATTCTCTTGCGGTTATTGAAGCTGTACTGGATTTGAAATCTCTCAATAGGGCATGTTCCCCTGCCAGATTCATTTATTATATAATCTTCCTGATATATACCGCATACGTTTAGGTTCCAACCTCCTTAACACTTTGTATGGAAATGCCACGTATACACGGGAAGACCATCGCTGCTGAGAACTTGTTCAATCCCTCCTGCATCTTAGCCTCCAGTGCTAAATCTGTCGATGGATCGTGTGATTCGTGATCAGTCTTTACACGAGCATCCTCACTCTCGAATTCAATACGCGATCGGCTGTTCTGATGTAGCTCGAGCACAGTCATAAGCTGGTCGAGAAGGAGCAGAGCTGATGACAGGATAGTAATGCAGGGCTGCTTAGAAATAATCTTCGCATATTTCGACGGAGTCATCGCTGTAGATGATCCCAGAGATGTCGTGATTGTATCCTCTTTCGAAGCAAGAACAATCCTTGCGCGCAGCCCGGTTAACCGAGTTTTCGTTCCAGTCATCCTTCCAATTAACTGGCCTATGGCAGCAGGCTTAGTATTTTCTTGCGATTGGATGATAGCGCGTGTAGCTGCATAATAACCTGGACATCTGACTATCTCGTTGAAGATGAACAACAGGGCATGATTGACCAGGTCATATTTATTCCCCTCATTTTCCGTACTGGAACTCTCATTGACTGTCAATGACCATTCTGGGTTCTCTAAAAAGCATGGCTCTCCTTGCCTAAAAGCCTCTTTGACCAGAAAATTTCGAAAGCACAATAAAAGAGTCCGACCTATACCATGTTTATGTGCAGCAGGTCCACGGGCACACATAAGGTGGCGGACGCCGCCACAGTGGAGTACCCAGGAATTCTTGCAGCTCTCATCCAGCATCTCGTATGCTCCAAGCAAAATGGCAGCCGCTAGCGTCTCATCAGTGAGCGCAGCGGGTGTCTGCAGGATATACGCAAGATGCTTTATTCCTCGGCCATACATGTGTCGACCGCAGGCGATAACTCCTTTGTCACCTCGCACAACTCCCATATGGAAGGTATTCAGTGCTCGGATTGCCCAAATCAACGCTTGTGGACAGGTTAGTCCCTGTTGACGTACAAAATCCATCCAATCCACCTCTAGTCGGGATGACCATATTGAATACGCTGGAAAGTAGTAATCAAGAAAGTCGTTGAACCGCTCCTTTGTTTGGATGTCTAGCGCCGCAAAGGTCAGACCGGGAGCGAAGACCTCGTCGATGATCAGTTCAGATAGTTCTGTTGGCCGGGCCTGTTTCTGCTTTTGCACTCTTGGAGGGGTTCTACTGGGGCGCCCCAGAGGCTCTCGTCGGTATCGCTGCTGCAGAGCTTGTGTCTGGTCGCGGAACTTGAAGTGACGATCATAGCCCGGACATTCGCAACCTCTCTTGATGCATCGCAGACATTGAGGCCGAGCCTCATCGCACTATAAGACCACCTTAGTCCACTTACCCCGTACGGAGCTGTTTAGGTTTGTTTTGGTATCAACCGAAGTACTCCATGCTAGAATGGATGTTATGGTGGATACGGACCTTGATTCTGCGGTTCACGCACATGCGACATCCTTTGCTGTTCGAAGCCCCTGTCATGATGATGCGGGTAACTTGGACTGGCGAATGTGGTGGCAGATACAATAGCACAGTATAATGAGAGTAGGCAATTAAGGAGTGAGAACAGTGGCACAAGCTGAGTGAGCAAGGGTAGGAATCAGTATTTGGTAGCTGGAGGGATCCTCTTTGTTTCCATCCTTTGAGACTAGTCACCCCGTGACCTTGGGGTGCGATTCTCTTGAGGGCTGTCGTGTAACATAATCCTGGCTGAGTGCATCCGCCTACAGCATCAAGTTACTTATTATTCCTTTTTCTTTTCCCGCCTCTTTATTTGTTTTTTCCGTTCCCGTTTCCAAGTACCCAACAGATGTTTACTCCCCATGGTGGATCATGGATGGAAACTAGTGACCTAAACCCAACCTTAAGGTTAACTAACGATAATAATATTACTACTACTAGGCTGAAGTGGGGCTCAATTCCAATTAGATTTTCGTTGGCGCCTTACAGCCATACCTGCAATGATTTTCACAACATGAGTACTACTGCTGCGTTAACCGGTGAGGGAACTGCATCATAAGTACCTCATTAAGGTATGTCGGTATTTACCTTCATTGTGCAGCGTTGGCTAACACGGAGTTGGGAAGCTCTAGCCTGAGAGCACTTTACATTCGGATGTTTAGATGTAATGTGAATAGTTAGTAAAGCTTTTAGTATTTGGTG